TTTAATATTTGGAACACAAATGACTCTCGAAATGGGGTGTTACTTCGCTTTGATAGCGACAGCAATTCAAAATATTTTAAATGTGATATTTATCAAAGATTATAACCATAAAATACTTTTTGTCACCATCGTACTATTATGGATTTTCCTACACGTTTTCAGACTTTTTCTCATTAATTATGAATGTGAGAGAGTTAGCAACAAGGTATTAGGCTTCAAAAATGCAGCTGTTTGAAATTTATTTTTAATGGTTAACAATTATTTAATGATATAATAGCCTGTTGCAAGTAGTAAGATAAATATAAAAAAATTACTATTTCTTTCTTCTTTTCTAGTTTACTGCATCAATTGCCACCGTTTTAGTTATATTACTACAAGTAAGTATAAATAATAACATTTAAAAAAAATTATAACAAACATAATACGTAAAACAATATGATTGACTCTATCGCGATACTTCACATGAATTTAAGAAAGTGCAACGAGTCTGTGCAGAAAAATTTAGTATTACATTTATACAGACATTTTCTCATTTGGATTTATATGTAAAATATCTCGCAAAATAAATTCAATATTTCAAATGCAGCTGACTCTCAAAATGGGATTGTATTTCACTTGTAGTATCACATGTCTTTGTGTAATATTTAGCATGATACTTATAAAAAATTACATTAATGAAAAAAAAATTCCTTGTCCTAATTTTATTATGAGACATTGTGTACGTTCCAAGTTTTTCTCATTAATTGTATATGTAAAAGAGCCAGCATTAATTTAACATTAATTTTATATTTGGGCGTTTTGAAGAAAGAGAGGATGAAGGATCTGAGTGTAGAAATTGCAAACAAAACAAATGAACTTAATATTATGCCTTCTTCCTCATCCTCAATTTCAATTTATTAATATATATACTTCTTTTTTAAAACTTTATTATATATTTAAAAAACAGATATTGACTAAAATAGACACTATCTTGTATTATTTGATAACATTTTTCAATATATACAGAATGTTAAAAAAAAAAAAAAAAACAAACAGCATTCAATATTTATATGGTAGATAGAACACTTGATAGAAAGCACAACCGTTTCTGAGATATAAACATTTTTGTATGTTAGCATCATGTTTATAACTTACTGGTTTCTACGTGTCGCATGCAATGTGAGAAGATTTTTTTCTTTGATTTTATCTTTTATTTTAGAAATGGAGCTTTTGATCTATGTTTACTAAAAGTTTTTTTACTCAGTATGGTATATCCTATCTACCATATACCCAGATAGCCAAGTCTGTTCGAACAGATTTTGCCAAACGTCTGCTACAAATTTTTGTCAGCAGAAAGATTCCAGATTGTATACAAAGTCTGTTATATCAAATAATAATAGCAGAATGTCAGCAGAAATGTTAATTAAATGGTTTTTTTTTTAACATCCTGTATATCACTTTTCAATATATAGCAATATATATTGTATTTTGGAATGAAACATAAAGAAAAAGTGTGTAAAGAATAATATTCACATATTTCCGCTATAAATATGTAATAAATAATTATGCTCATAATTATGTTTGTACATGTTCTATGTAAAAAAGGACGTCATTCATTATCCGAACTGTTTAAATGTATAAAAAATTTTAATAGATTGATTATTTCAATAACTATAAGAGTCCTAACTAAAATTACGAAGATAGTTGTCATAATCGATCGTTTGGTGAAGCTAGTTCAAACAGTCGGCAAATGATATGTAGTTCGGAATCGAAACGGTGTACGTTGTACGTAATGACTAAGAACATTCGAACAGTTTTAGCACCGTTCTTGATAATCAGTTATGTGTCTGGTTTAAGAATTATCGAATTTCCTGTAGGTCATCCAAGAATATGGTTTGGTCTCTTATATATGCTGCTAATTTGGTCAATTTATTTTCTCTTCTTAAAATTTATAATAACATCTTACTTTAATGATACACATTATACTACTGAATATCATATATGTATTGGGCTAGACATTTTGGTGACATTACTGTCAATTGTTTTCGGAGTGTATCATGATAAGGTATGTGTGATAAAAAATTGTTAATTATTTTCATACTAATAATACGTAATTTTGATTGTGTATTTGAATATTCTTTTGATATCTGGAAGTACCTACAAAAATTTTAAGTAATATTTTTCCGTTTAGCAAAACAAATTGCCATAAAGGTATACAATAATATGCCATATATACTAATGCAACACAAGTTATTGATATATAAATTTCTTTTCTAGAAATATTTAATAATTTATTGCATATAGAATAAAAGAAAATATATGAAATTAACATTTACATTTTTTATTTCTTCTTTGAAAAGATTATTACAAGCTCCACAAAAAAACAATATATCTCATCCTAGGATGGCTCCTAATGATTATATCAATGAGCTATGGAACGGGGTATTGGATAAAAAACGAATACAATTATAATACTTTAACAGCTAATCTTATTATTCTATCTTTGTTTAACTTTTGATACATAACAAAGATAGAGCGACACTCGTGTGCGCACGGGTGATGTTTCCGAACGCAGCCTAAGTAGAAGCATTTTCAAAAAGTCATGCCTATATATGTATGTTATAACGAAGTGAAAAACTTTTAAAGAAATTTGCACAAATTGTTCAAATCATAACATGATTTGTTTAATTCTATATTTTAGTATTGCAAATTAATATTTATTATTTTTACAGGACTTGCTTTAAATTCAAAGAAATTAGTTCTTGTATTCTCTATTCTTATGTCTCTATATTACTGTTATCTCTGTAATCTTTTCTATTCTTCTCTATGAAAGTTATTTCTTGCATAAAAATGATTTTATATATCGAATTTTATCAAAAAATATTATTTTTGTTATCGTATTAAAAAAAACATGTCAAGTTTGCTATTCCTGTCTTTTTCTTTCTCTCTCTCTCTTTCTTATATATATATTATTATATATTGTCAGTTAATATCAATTAAAATTGACATTATTATATCTGTTATTTAATGGTGCTTTTAATCACGCGTAATGGAATCATATAATCGTGCAAATAAAAAAATAAAGTATTAGAATGCCAAAAACAACATCAATGTTTGCGTTATAAATATACATATTTGCTTCGTGTCACTCGATATGTTGAACCAGCCTCTTTTCGTTAACTTATGGTATGTAAAATTCAATAAATTGATTATTTCATTACTTAATTTCAATTACATAATTATGCATAATAAAATAATTCGCTATTATTACGTTTCAGTATTTGTTCAGTATTCATTCAATTGTTGGCAAAGCAAGTGCAGTTCGGAGTCACATACCAACGTTATGAGCATTCGAAAAATTTTATCGCCATTGTTAATGATCAGTTATGTGTGCGGTTTAAGAGTGATCGAGTTTCCCACAGGTGTCCCGAGACAATGGTTTGGTCTTCTATACATGCTATTATTGTGGTCATTATATAATTTTGTCTTTATATATGGAGTAATACCTTATACAATTAATTACTCCATCCTATACCATATTTGGATTGGAGTAAATATGTTTATAATGTTTTTGTCAATTATCGTTGGAGTATACCATGACAAGGTAGGAGACTTAACGTAGAAAAATATTAATGTAGCTTGAACATTCAAAATCATTGATTGTAAAATGGAACACAACTTATAATTTTTTTTATAATATTTTTACAACAGAAAGACTCTGCCAGAAAAATATAAAAGTTTTAGCATATTGATATATCATATATTATTATCAAATTTTAATTTTTCTACATATTTGACAACACGTTTGATATAACGTCAATTATTCTTTTAAAAATGAAAAATAGAAAAGATAAATATAAGAAGTGAGATGAATATAAAAATATAATATGTATTTTTACATCTTTTTCACGAAATAATTAAATTACTAGGGACATTAAAATTGTCAATATTTGGATATAATTCGACATTACAAATACAAATTATTAATTTACTGCATATTGCCTTTTTATATCAGGAATTTAGAAATTGTATAAAGAGCCTCACTATTGTGGACGATACATTGGAAAAATTGGGAACAACAACAGATTGCAAATTGCATAGAAGAACATCATGGCTCATTTTAGGATGGTTTATGATAGCCATATTAATAACTTGCGCGGAGATTCTTTATTCATTTTTAGGAAGACAAAAACAAGACGCGCCAGCTACCTATGTTTTTTTTATACGCATTTATTGCATTCATATAACTGTTATCGGCGATTTAACTATAACAAGTATGATTGGGTTAGTTCATTTTTATAAATATACAAGAATACTTGTTTATTAATTACATTTACTAATAATTATCCACTAATCTTTTCGATCTTTAGGTACGTAGGATTGAAATTTGACCAAATCAATGAACACCTTGAGAAATTAACAAAAGGTAATAAATATAGAAAGCTAGCTTGGGAACATTCCGTGTTATTTTTTCATCAATCTAGATATGCAAAAGGTCCGAACAGTGCATATATAATATGGATTGTAATGTAAGAGAATTTATATTTAATTTAATTTAATTTATATCAATTTAATCAATTTAATATCATCTTTCAAATTAATTAATCATGGCTATGCTTTGCATGACGAGTTAATATATCACGTTTACGCAGGTATCTTTATTTGTAAAATATCCCGCAAAATAGATTTAATATTCGGATTACAAATGACTATCGAAATGGGGAATTACTTCGCTTTTATAGCGATTGCAATTCAAGAGTTTTTTGATGTGATATTCATCAAAGATTATAAAAATAAAATAATTTATGCCACCATCATGCTATTATGGCTTTTCTTACACGTTTTCAGACTTTTTCTCATTAATTATGAATGTGAGAGAGTTAGCATCAAGGTATTAGGCTTCAAAAATGCATCTGTTTGAAATTTATTTTTAATGTTTAACAATTATTTGATTTATTAAATATATATATAATGAATTTAATATTAGTAAAATNATATTTATAAAATATAAAACACATGTGTACATAGTGATTATAAATGTATATATATATTTTATACATATATCACAAGTTTATTTTAAGCATCAAGTTTAATTTGCTTGTTTTTTTCTTCAATTTCCAAAGTTTCCAAGCTTCTGTCAGTAGACTCTGCTGCTTCTTGCGTACTTGATATAATTGTATCTATATCTCCTTCACTTTTTTCATTTATTAACTGTGCTTTCTCTGTTTCTTTATTGGAAATTATCTAAAGATTTTATTTTTTATCAAGTATATTTTTCACAATATATATCAGAAATTCATTGTGAATAACATTATAAATAATTGTTAATAATGCATTTATATACCAGCACTTTTAATAAAAATATTCTTACCTTATTTTTTGTACTATTGCATATTTCAAGAAGGTTATATTTCTTAAATTTATAATAATTTGGAGCAATAGAAAATAAACAGATTCCACGTATAACTTCAACAACCACGGCTATCTCTGGATTCTTCAAGTCTGCTTTGTTACCTGGATTTTTTTTTAGAATTATTTCTGCCAAATCTTGAATAATCTCATCCCTCTTAATACTGTTATTATTACGACGACTGGAACATAATTATTTAATAAATAAAAAAAAAATAAAAATTTTTATACAAGTTATCTGTCACACATAACTTACTTAAACACAATACTGAATGTTTTAGGTTCTTGAGCAAAATATTTTTCAAATAATGCATTCGCTTTTGTTTTTATATCATCCATATACGCTTTGCATATAACTTCTATTGGAAGTAATCTTAATAAGTATCTAGTACACTGTTCCTTGGTTGCATCCAACTTGGTAAGAATTTTGGTGACTAGCTCTAATGGATTTGGTAAAGTACTTGCTATAAAAATCATATTTTTAGCACCTGTGTCTACTACCTATAGAAAATAGCGATATTAATAAATATATAATATTTTCTCGAAGAAAAAGATTTTGTTAATGCAGTGTCAGGCAATAATTGACATTAGGAATATACTTGAAATTTTCGAGAAGATAACGGCATTTCATGCTCTGTTCTAAGTTCATTGATTTCTTTCTCCAGAGCAATGGATATATCTTCATCTTCATCGATATCTTTTGAAGATTTATCAGCCTCTTTTTTATCGAATGTATTTGTTGTGCTTGATATTTCAGATTCCTTCAAATAAAAAAAATTGTTGTAATAAATATTTGTGATACACACACGTTTTAACAGTTGCTTTCAAATCTTATATATTTTTTTCAGCTATATATCTAATTTACGTGAATCCCTAAATACCTTATTTGTATCCGATTTCTCATCTGCAAACAGATTAAGCAATTTGTAGGCATCAGTGATACAGCCTCTTTCGTGAAAATTGCATGTGCACAAGAATCCCGTCATACCCGGTTCTAATACCAATTGTTTACGTCTTTTATAATTGTTACGATGGCCAACAACATATTTATTATTTCTTTTTCGTGTATCCATCGCACTGTTGATCTGAGTTTATCTCTTTCAAATAAGAAAAATAAAAGGTATGACTTTTTCTCTCTCTTTCGCACCTACGTAAAGACCAGTGTTGTTAGACGGGCTCCTTTTTCCGCACATGCGCGAAGTAACGATGGCGATTACAGCTGATTACAGTCATATATACATTGTATATGTGATGGGCATCTCATTGTTAATTTTGGCAGGATCTCGCAGAGGACAGATTAAGTAGCTGTACATAAATAAATAAATTAATTAATATAATTTTTATTACATATTATTTTTATATTTCATGTTTTAATTAATTTTTCGAAAACTTCTAAATAATTTTTAAAAGTGTTTAAATAGGGATCTCATTCTATAAGATTTATTACTTCATTGATATCACATTCAATACGCATGCGCGAAAAAGAAAATTTAACAACACTGGCGGCAACCGTCAACTGGCGTTAATGACAGTTGTAGACAGTTGACAGAACATTCGTTATTATAAGGCATTTCTTGCTTCTTTTTCTGTTATGTTTATTTGACTTTTCTATATTGAAATCATTCTTATTTGGAAAAAAACTCTGTTTATTGTATCACGTGTATTCATAAGATCTTTGTACGTTGCGTTTATCCTTTTTTTTTATTTTTTGATTGTGCGTGTATTTGATTTATTAATTATTTAATAATTTAAACTTTTAGAATAAACGATATTACACTATTTTGGGTAAATACAAAAAGAAATTATGTTGTTAATTGTTTCAGGTTAATTGGGATAATAATAAAAAAAGTTGATAAATTATTTTGTGCTTTCTAGAATAATAAACATGGAAAACAAGGAAAACGAGAAAATGGATAATTTGGAGAAAATAGACAATATTGTGGGTGAAGATCCAATAAAAATCAATCAAATTCAAGTTTTGATTCAGAGTCAGATTCAAGTTTTGATTCAAAGTCAGATTCAAATTTTAATTCAGATTCATACATTGAAGTTGATTCGCATTGTTCAACATCAAAACCTTCAAAAAAATTTAGATTAGATTCCAAACTAGAAGAAATATTTCCAGAACTAATAAGTTGTGAACCTGTAGTTACTTCGACTCCGAAACATCCAACTATCAGATTTCCTTCTCTAAGTTATATCATGATGAAAACTATAAAAAAGAATTTTTTAGAAGAGTTTGCCATAAGTAATATGTATGCCAGCATATGATGCTATAATAATTTTATTAAAGTAATATCATGCAACATTGCTGTAATCGGAAAACGTTTCAACAATATAGTGAAAAGGAACAAGAACTCATAATCCGGGCGCATCTCGCATTTTGCAGGCGGGATATTAAGTTTTTAGAATATTACAAGATAGAAAAGTCAAATAATGAAAGAAATTATTTCGATCAACATGAAACATTATTCTATTTCCGGCAATTACGAATTTGTAGGAAATTGTCTTTTCTTATATGATTTAGAATATACAAAATATAAATAAATTGTGGCTCGTTTCGATAAACACGAATTAGAACCTCATGTACAAAGGCTTGTCGAAAAAGTCCCTGCAAAGATAACAAAATTAAATAAAACAATTTAGTAATTAGTGATTAGTTAACAAATATACTATTTTTTTATTTTTTATGATTACTTTATAGAAGGAACTTCTATTAATTTTTGTATATTTTTGTACTATTTTTATGTATTTTATGAAGATCTACCAAAGAGTTTGAAAACTTTTAGGTAACGTGATTAACAGCATAAAAATACTTAAATAAGTATTTATTATTAATAAGTATAACAGTCATCCAATCTAATCCTGAGAAGGTTACGGTATCTCTTTAATTATATATACTTTATTCATATATATTCTCTTTAATCATATAGCTTCTATGTATTGATCCTGAGAAAAATAATGATTTATTTTAAAAAAGCAGATATTTTTTCCAAAAAAGAAAGAAAAGTAATAACTTAATAAAATTGATAGCTAAAGTTTATATATTTTATTTTTACTAGTATTATTTTACTACTCATAATTAATTACTGTATTGTGATAAATTTTTGATAATAAGAAATTATTTATTTTTTTTATTTGTATTATATCTTCAAACTTTATAAAAATTTAATATTATTTTTGCTACTGCGCATAACAAATACAGTAATTACTAGTTAATAATATAACAATATAATATAAAGTGTAATATATAATTAATAACTAATTATATAAACTTTATTAAAAACTGAGTAGTGTATAGTGTATTTATGTTACAATATAATGTTGCAAATTCAAGGAATTTATTAATAACGATCTCACTAATCAAATTTACATAAATATATCTTGTGTTACTTTAAACGATAATAACTAAAAAGGATTAAAATAAGTACATTCATAATATACATTTATAATTTTTTATATTGCAATTAGGCGAAACGATTATTGGGGATAATCAGAATATTCTGTATAGGAATATGAATATTGAAACGGTTTTATCCAATAAAAAAAAGAACGTATTTTTTTTTTATAATATCACACATATTTATGTATAACATTTATCATTCTAAGTTGTATAAAAACTGATTTTTACATAAAAGTGATAGCGAAAAATAAATTTATTTTTATTTTGAATAAAAAAATGTATACGTGCATCTATCCACGTATTATTCATATGTTTCATCTAATTATCTAATTACGTTCATCTATATCTAAGTATATGCAAATGTGTAAGAAGTATATGCAGAATGTACACATGAATTATACTTTTGATAAATAGCATACAATGTATTTATTAAAGCATATTCACAGTTCAAACACATATAATCACTTTATTATGTATTCAGAGAGAAATATATTATCAACGATACCATACATGTAGGCAATAACAATAATCACGTCGATTATAATTGTTGTGCTTTTAGAGTTATATTCAAATTTCTTATCTTGAATTTATCATTTTACACAATTAATATACAATATACTAAAATATTACTTATATTTATCAATGCGCTGCTTCTCTAATTCTCTTTTATTGACAAACCTTTCAGTTGTACATATTTAGTATCGAAAATCAAGAAAATATAAAGAATATTAAAAATTATATAAGAGATATAAATTATATATCAATTAAATTTATATCCTGATTAAAATCTAGCGATATTGGAAAAAGCAGCGAATAATGGCGCTCCGCTGGCCGTCGCGGTTGGTGGTTGCTGATCGCCAATATTTTTCAATAGATTACCTTGCAATAGACTGTCGAGAGCTTTCTGAACTGTCGGATCGTTTAGAAGAGGCGACGGTGAAACTCCCGTGGATGCGGTCGTCGTGGATGGTGTTGTGGCCGTGTTTGATGCTATCGGCATAACGTGCATTTATGAAGTTCGTGGTTTCAACACCGTCTGAATGAATTTTCTACAGTATTTTAATTGTTCTTGTTAAATATTGTTCACGTATCTATTTGTTAAGTACAGTTATGATATTTTATTGTTAATCGAGACTTTTTACTGCAAATGTTTTATCTTAAAATTACATTCTCAAGCAACTCGTATATACTTCAAATATTTATGCGTGATCAACACAACGCGTACTTCAAATTTTGTCGATGTGATTCTATATATATTATGTTTAATCTTTACCTGTCCCCCAATTAGCTGGAGGAACTGGAACCGGTGCCGAAGCTGGTGGTGGTACCGGGCTTGGTTCCGCCACTGTCGGCGCGTTTGTTTTACTGTTATTCAGGATATTCAGTATTCGCGTCTGTAACTCAGCTTGTTTCGGATCGTTAATGGATGTGAGCGGCGTCTTTACCGGCAAATCCTTCGCGTCGCCCAATTCAACTTGCACTTGTTCCTCGCGTTTCATATCAAGATACTTTATGACGCGATCGTACTGCAGGACCGTAAGCTGATGATTGTCAGCTAGCATGTTTAGTAAAACTTGTATAGCATCCGGATGACGCTCACTCGCGAGAGGTGTATTTAGAGGAACCGAACGGCCACCGGCTTTGTAATTCGTGAAATCTCGCGAAATTAAATTTATAGCATCTTCAACAGGCATGTTCCTGTGTTCTACAATAAAAATGATATAATGCTGATCAATTAGTGTTATAATAAATTATTAATATTATAATAAACTTAACGAATTTTAATGAAGATACTAATTCTCGCAATTAACATCTTATTGAAATTCTTTACCTTGTGGTAAACCGTGTAAAATATTCAGTGTCAAGGAATGATGTTCATGGTTGATGGGTGTTACTACTACGGCATATAGGCAGCCGCGACTTGCGATATTCCCCAAAACACGGCCTAAGGGAACATCCTCGTTTGGAAACAGCAAGTCTACCATTAGGCCGACCTGCTTCAATCGTAACTCGATATCTTCTGCATACTTCCTGCATGTTTGATAAACAATATATATGTTGTATCACATAAATTTCTAACTTTATGTAGTTATAAGTAAAGATTGGCATCTCACGTTAATGCTTTATTGACGACGATAATTTCGCAGTCATTTTTCTCAGTTGCGAGGTAATCCACTGATGCTCCACTCACATTTCTGTAAGACAAATGGATGTTTTATTATTCATATTCCCGTGCATATATTTATTTCTATCAAGCTATTAAATTAATTGCTATTAAAGTAATTAAAGTTAAATGCTATTAAAGTTGCTTTTAAATTAATTAAAAAATTGACAATAATTGCACTATGATATCTATAGAAAGAATATTATTCAATAGAACTTTATTGGTTACACTATCGTAAACAAAATTGTTAAAATAAATATCTATAAAGTCAGATAAAACGGACAAATGAGAGCCAACGCGCTAGATGAGGAATTCCAAAAACATGTATTCTTTGCAGTTGTTTTTGTGTTTATTAAACGTTTCGGTTCAAGTATTAGACCATCTTCAGTAACTGTATACAAAAATAATAAAAAATAAATAAAATCGGAATATAAAAGAGACTTACATAACGTAAGTGTACTTTGACATATTATAAAAATGTTCGGAGCGCGTCGAGCGAGCCGCACTTTACAACGGTGACAATACTAATGATATATGAATTTGACACAAAGGTTACGGTCGAAATGTAAACAGATATACATAATATTATGACTTAAATTTTTTTCAAATTATCTGTTATTGGTACTTATATGTGGTCTAATTGATTTGTATCGTTGTGGAGATTTAAGCTATTTTTTGTCGTTTAATGTAAATCATTTCAGATATCAATCGTTTTCCTAAATTCGGCTTGTCATCCAAGATATCAATCTTATCCACTTGCATTGTCTTTTTTATATTCCGATTTTATTTATTTTTTATTACTTTTGTATATAGTTACTAAAGATGGTCTAATACACTGACTGAAACGTTTAATAAACAATTACAACTACAAAGAATACATATTTTTGGTGCCCCTTATCCAGCGTGTTGGCTCTCATTTGCCAGTTTTATCTTACTTTATGGATATTTATTATATATTTAGAGCGCCTAGTATATTAAATTATCTGTTAAAATAAAATTCCTTAATTATTACGTTATTAAAAATGACCACATTTTACCCAAAACTCGCATTTGTGTCTCTTGTTCCAGAAGTTTTGAAATCATCATAACGATTTCCACTGTCATTAAATGAATCCCTAGCAAAATTATTGCCACGTAGTCTATCTCCTTGTTTGTGATCCCAATCTCTATTTATTTTGTCCTCTATTCGATTACCTCTATTAATTGGGCTTCTATCTCTGAAATTATTCGTGTTGTTTGGATTGTTCTGATTATTCTTGTTTCTATTCTTTCCACCTCTTGTCCCTCGTGCTCTATGAGTGTTGCCTCCGCCTCCAACACCAGAACCAGGATTTTGATTTTGGTTATTGCCTGGATTAGTTTGATTTCGATTCTGATTTCCTCCGGGCCTATTCTGATTTCCCATCTGATTATTATTTCCAAACTGATTGTTGATGCCTCTATTTTGATTGCCATGACCACTAGCGAATTGATCGTTTCCGCGATTTGGGTTACCTAAATTGAATTGATTGTTTCCACGATTTTGAGCGGGATTATTAAAAGGATCGTTTCCACTGTTATTATTATTATTATTATGTTTTCCATTATATTGGTCATTGTCACTATTTCCCGTTTGATTTCCATCATCAAAGCTACTGTTTCCACTGCTCCTATTTTGAGCATTTAAGTCCTTTTGGTTGTTACCAAAAGTACTATCATTCGCAAAGTTCGGATTCATCCCACCGATATAATTTGGTTTATTTGCACTGAAAGAGTCAGCCGCATTATTGAATTGATTATTCATGGAATTAAATTGATTATTCAGTCCACTCATTTGTTTTGCATTTGTATTTCCTGCATTTCCACTAGATTGATTATCCTTCTTTGCTGGTCTGACATCTAGAAAAAATATAAACAAATAAAAAGAGATATTTTGAATCATCTCCTTACACACCTCTCTCTTTTCTCTTGAAATAAATAATATTGACTAATATCAAGAAAGGAGATCCTTATAATTGGATAAAAAAATGATATTATAATCAAATATAAGAAAAATAATATAATTAAATATGTAAGTCTGCAACACTATTTAACTTTCTATAATATACCTATACGTCTGCCTTTAAACAGTGCGCCATCTTCATTTTGTATAGCTTTCTGAGCAGATTGTTCATCTTCAAATTGCACAAATCCAAAGCCTCTGTTTATTATCGATGCTATAACAGTTCCATATTTGGAGAAATGTTCTTCCAGTTCTAACTTTGTGACATCATCAGTTTGTAAATGACCCACAAATATGCGACTAGATGCTGTAGCAGGATCTTTTAGAAGTCTGGCACTCATCCTGAGTTTCCAGAATAAAAAAAAATTTTTAATAATTAAAAAACTATCAAACTGCTGGTGTGTTATTTATCAAGTTTAATAAAACTCACAAAAGTTATATTTCTTGTATTGGATCGAGAAGTTTTAGCATTTATAACTATATTAAAATCGATATTTTTATCTGCTCTTAATATATACAAGGTGCATATTAATTCAACTTCATATATATGTAAATTTTATGATATATATGGTGTAAAAATATATGATTTCAGATTTAATATAATTATTATGTATATATTATCTCTACCAAAATATTTTATTTCC